ACAGTTTTCACACCATTTATCCAAATACTCGGTTTATGATAGATTTCTTTGTTAGATCCGGTTATGTCGGCCTCAATTATGAGTGATGACTAACAGCTCATACTCTAAATGATATGCAGTAGGCTACTGCGAGGTTGTCGGACACACCTGCATGGAAACTGTGGGAAATATGGAGGAAAGTCCTGCTCGTTCATTCTCTCCGCGTCCACTTAAGCCAGAGCCTTTAATAAAGCCAGGAAATGTGCTGGTAAACAAAGAGACATTTCAAAGTCTTACATCTCTAAAAAGTCGCGGTCACTGATGGCCAAACGACAGATTATAAATGCGTTCTCAATCTGATGCATTTATGAGCCTTAATGTTTTTTTACATTGTGATAACAGTTTTCACATTTATGACACTATTATGTAGCCCATTCGATTTCATCTTCATAAAACAACTTTGAACTTACCATTCACTTGATGTAGGCTAGTTAAAAACGCATTTAAGCCCCCCCTTTCTATTTTAAGCATAAAATGTCTTCGAGGTGTTTCGAAATTTTTATTTATTTTATATAGGCCTTTATTTAAAAAATATATTTAGGCCTATTTATTATAATATTTATCTGGTTGTTACGTCCCATAGGTTAGGGAACGTAACATGGTAATTTTTAGTAATTTTCGATTAGCTATTAATGCCAAATCATCTGCAACAATTTAATAGACGAATCAAAAATTACATATTGCATTTGGCTGATTAAAAATGACCAAAGGCCGTGTAACTTAAAAGGAACGTAGTTTTTCTTCTTTCTTTTAATCCAGTGGAACTGCTATTGCATGGTTTCGTTCATTTTCCGCAGAAATCTTTGAATCTTGAAGCAACATTAATTTAAATTGTTTTTCTGGATTCAGAATGAGCTTACTGTAATGATATCTGTTATTTGTTTTTAAATCATTTATTTTTAATCGTGGAAAGTTTCACAGCGTTCAAATGTTTAATCGAATTTGGGATGAGATTATCAAAATACGTTTTACAAAAAAACAAAACAAAAAAAAGTTTGCTCAACTAACCCATAATAGGCCTACATGTTAATTTGTTAATTGTGTGTTTGGAAAAACGCGGTTATTAATTGTTCATATAATCTAAACCTCAAACCAAGATTTAATTGGCAGGAAATGCAAATTGCAAATTCTTTCAAAAGAAAAGTGCGCCTTTGATTGATTCTCTTTCTTTTGTTTGTGTTCATATATACAATGTATTTTTGAAAGATTTCTGAAAGTGTGATTTAAATGAGAATATCTTCTGTCATGCTGCATATAAAGGAGACAGAATGCCTGACGAAAACCTGTTGATTAAACGTTGAAATAATCTCTTTGTTGTGACTTTCTTCTCGATCATTACATACTTTCAAAAACACTTACATTTTAGATGTAACATGTTATGTATTATATACGACTAGGCTACTAATATAGGCCTATATAAACCAAGTATCAACGGTTAGAGAATAGCAGGGAATGTAGCCTACCTACTGTCCTTACATCTGATAAGAATATGTGATGAAATTAGCCTCTTTTATGCACTAAAAATGTTATAGCCTATTTTGAGGCCAACATCAAACTAATGATCAAATAGCCTAGCTAGAAATAACTTAAAATGCAATCAAAACAAATAGCATATACAATTCAAATCCAATACAAATAAAATATACAAAAAACTAATCGAAGAATATGAATGTGTAGTCTACGCCGAATTTGTGCAGTAGGCCTAGCCTGTATCGTTGAAGCATAAGTTCGGTAATATCTGTTTCATAAGCGTGTGAATGCAATCAAATAAAGGCGGTCCTAATCTTTTAAAATATGAACAATGGTGACATCTTGTGGCCAAAAGGATTCATTGTCTCTTCAACAGCCTCTGCTGTTTCCATAATAATGCAATTCATTTGCATTGGTTCACCTCAGATCTGACATTTAAAAAAATAAAAAAAATAGAATAGGCCTATTAAAAGATTAACAAACCATTACACATTCAAAAGTCGACTCACACATTACATCTATAGGTAGTCTATAACAAAAGCATATTAGATTAATTTTACTAATACACAGGCTATATGTTATAGCTTTGTGGTTGGATTTTAAAGAACAAACATGTTACCTGCTTAATGTGCAGGAGCTAAAAAATTTTTAGGGGGATTTGGGGGTTTAGATAAGAACCTAGAAGAAAGAATGACAGGCAGGTGTTGTGGGCGACGTCAGCAATTTTAAAGAATGTTCATTATAAAAGCCACCAACGCCCCACAAGCCTGTCACGTTGGCATTACCATGCTGACCAGACAGTATAGCCTATATTTACCTTTTAAAGCAGAAGCAAAGCGAAAAACGTCGTTAATATTAACCTTGTTATAGTTTGCTTAACCGTTTTTAAGCTCTTACCTCCCTCAAACAGGATTCACCACTGTTTAATTACTTTTTGGTCTCTTTATTTTACTCCCAGTGTTCCTTTTAGGGGGTTTAGCTGTGTAGGCCGTTCTTGACAGGTGAGAAATCTGGTACGTGCCGTGGTTTTGCATCCTTCAAACTCATGAAAGTGCCCCAAGTTAATCTATTTCACGCCCTCAGCTTCCGGTTTCCATATGTGGACTGGACACATGTGCACGCGACACAAAGCCGCTGAAAGCCTTCTGATTGGCTAAAAAACAGTCTGACCGCGATCACTTTTTTTTTATTTTACGTTTATCGTAGATTTTCGAGAGATAGGCTATATTTGGAGAGTTGATTCAATGAAATCTTTTAAGAATGTCATCTTTTAGGATCATTTTATGTAGGCCTGCAATCGAAAAAACAAACAAACAAACACACAAAAAACGCTAACATGGAGTAGCCTACAAACAAACAAACAAACAAACAAACACACACACACACACACACACACACACACACACACACAACGCTAACAAACATATGCATAGCCTACACATGATGAAATGTGTCAACGAGATTTAGCAACATCAATTGTAAACGAAAATGTTCTGAGCGGTTTAATGAATGTGCGAATGATAAAAATGATCTAATAGGCCTATTATATTTAGAAAAGTCAAAATCCAAAGTGGTAAACCCTTGTGTATAGCCTACACCTCTGTGTGAAGATATGCCCAGACATGATGACCACAGTCTCTTTTGCTGCATAAAAAACATACTAGCCTTATTATTCTGAATGGTTCTGTGATTAATAACTTTTATGTTTTGATTTAGAGCTACCTGACTTAATACATTTTCACAAAATCTTGCAATCAAGGTGAGGGACAGAACACAAAAATCACACCAGGACGTCTGTGTAACTAAGAAAGCCAGTAACTTTACTGAATTCTCTTCAAAATACAAATACCTTTTTTTTTAGTCCCAGCAGGAGAAACAAATTTTATTCCATACATTAATGTTTACTACATACAGCTGAATCAAGTCCCTTGAGATACAGAGATGTGGTTTTAATTTAATGACATCTTGTCTTCAAGTGGCGACAAAGTCCAGCTTGTGCCGCTGAAAGCCTCTTTCTCCTGGTTAGAAAACAAAAAGACACTTTCTTTCAACCTTACCCATTGTAGGTTTATACAAGCTACATTTGTTACTACAGAATTTTTCAGCATTTTATTTTTTTCATTTTTTTATTTTGTAATTTATATACTTAATGGAAACAACACGAGAGAGAGAGAGAGAGAGAGAGAGAGAGAGAGAGAGAGAGAGAGAGAGAGAGAGAGAGAGAGAGAGAGAGAGAGAGAGAGAGAGAGAGAGAGAGAGAGAGAGAGAGAGACAGAAAAGCTCAACCAAAAATAAAAAACAGGAAAAAATAACAATAAAAATAACCGGAGAGTCATATATTGACAGTTGAAATCTATATAACAAACAATGGCATTGTTTCACAATACTGTACACTCGTTAGTTGGAGGAGAAAGTTCCAAATTCTCGACAAGACCAACTCATTGAAAGGTAATCTGAGGCACTGGGAGGGTGAGTCAGAGGTACCAGCCACTAGCATGAACAACTTGTGAAGAAACACAATGGTCTCAAACCCAGAAAGGATAATGGATCGGCAAACATAACATTACTTTTTTTGTCTTTGGTAGAAAAAACAGACTAACATATGTCCTGTCAAAATCACAGAATGCACAATGATAGATATGTATAACAATTGAACAAAACTAGTCACAATCCACTAAATGATGATACAAGATTACACAAGCAGTCATGAGGTATCTATGACTGTGCTGTCTTATATTATAAAATCGTCAGTGCAATGTCGATTAATGTGACACTGGGGGGGGTGGGGGTGGGGGATTCATGTTTAAGAGTGTGACTTCAATTTTAAAATGTCATTCTGAATGTATTTGCCCCTGAAAGACTCAGTCCGGTGAAGGGAAAAAAAAGGAGGAGAAAACAAAACAAAAAGGTGTGCAACTGCACATATTCCCTGTAATGGGGAAAAAAGTTATGACCATAATTTTTTATCATATATATTCATATATTAGAAAGCTATACACAAGCATGTTAATTTCACAGATTCTTTAAAAAGATTCTTAATATTATTATTCAATATACTTAGAAATACACGTTTAAAAACAAAACTTCTACAAAGAGAGAGAGACAGAGAGAGAGAGAGAAAGAGAAAAAAAAAACATTGAGCAAAGCAAGGATTCACTATCTCAGATTTCATGGCTTATGGTTGAAAAGCCCAAGGTTTCTCGTTCTTTTACTATCATTTCTCGTATAAGCAAAGCTATCAAAACACATTCTGGCTCTTATAAACTACAAAAAGCCACAAAAATGCTTTGCATTGTATTCCTTTTTGATATGAAAATAGAAGCAAGTGTATCATACATTTTTTTTCTCTTTTTCCTCTTTTAATACTGAACAACAACTGCAAGTCCTAGGTTTAAATGTCATCAGACTGAAGTAACATGGCTCTTAATTGAAAGTCCTTCATCTCGGCGATGCCACTCTGTCCTGCTATTTCCTTTCCTTCAGCAGGAGAGTTTTTGTTTCCTGAAATACCCACTCCCCCATAACTTAACCAAGGAACCTGCACATATATCAGTACAATCCTTCGAAATTCTTGCATAACAGTTTTGTTTGTGTGAAATCAGCAATATTGACCAACCTTGACCCTTCCCCCGTGTCCCAGCCTTGTCTCTATGTACAATACGTTGAACCTGCAACATGACATTGTCACCCATAACATACATTTAGCGAAGGGGCCCTCTGAATAGAGTGGCACAAAAAAAAAAAAAGGAATCTGTACATATTGTACTGGTACATCAACTCAAGTGCTAAGCTGTCACCTCTCTGCTGTGCTCCTCTTGTGGCTGAACATCACTGAGGCAAGGACTTTACAAAAAAAAAAAAAAAGAAAGAAAAAAAGATCCAAGAGTACCTGACACTTTTTGTTGGTTTCTTACTCTGCATACATGTACACCTACACAACGTGTAAATATATATGCATATGTGGTAATTCTTTACATTGTATTCCACACACTGCACAAGTAATGCATAGTAGCCCGCCCACTAAACCCTCCCCAACCCGGTTTGTACTAGTCCTCCTTCCTGTTTCCCTCCCTGAAAACCCGTCAATCACAACAATACGTATATCAGACACACTCTGATGAAATAATAATAGTTAAAAACAAATGTTACAGGTCATTACGAGAGCACTTCCTCCCCTCTCCACAGCAAATCAGAGAATAAGGGGAGCGCAATGATTGTGACTTGTCATAAACGGCAGAGAGAAAGCGAGAACGAGTGAGGCGCCGTGGAACCACGTGGCATCGCGCGGGGAGGTCAAGATCGAGGATTGGGCTGTCCAAAGGGGGCACCGCTTATCATGTGGCCCACCCCTCCGAGAGGCGGACGCGCTTGATGGATGGGCTGTCTTGCTCGTCCAGGCCGGGCCGGCCCAATCCTAAGGGCGAATGGAAGTCGGGACGGTGATCGTCGCGGTCGCTGCCCTCGTGCGAGCTGCCGCAGCTACTGAGGCTGTCGGCCGGGGAGCGTCCCGAGTCCTGGCGCCCCTGTGTGAGCGGGCCCTGGTGCTGCTGGTGAGACGGTAGCTGGCCGTAGCCTCCTGGTGTGGTGCTGCTGGATCGATCTCTAGGAGGAGAAACAGGTTCGGACTTGATGTGCAGGCTTTGAGTAGAGGGCAGGGAGAGATTTGAACCCTGACATAAGTGAGAGCTAGAGCAATTTCTGTAGGAAGGAAAGGAAATGAAGGGGGTTACGAACGAGTGCTCGTGCACTCCTGTACACAGGTGGCAGAGATACAATCAAATCAGTGACATTTGTCTAAAAGTACTCAAACATGGTTATTGCAGAAAGGAAACGATGTTTATTTCCTATATTGACAAAGAACAGTAAGAGAAAGTGCGAGAAAATTGTACATGTTAAAGGTACACTATTGTTCAAAATTAACAAAATACCTCATCAATACCTTCTTCTAAAACGTATGTTTGTCTTAACCTGATTCACTATGCTAAGCCTATTATAAGTGTTTATATTTTAGACTTGTCCAGATGTTTTTCGCACTAAATTGGGCAGACGTCACTCACTTGTGCGTGTCTTGTCAAATCTGTAAATTGAGAAAAGTTGCTCCGACTACTTTGACGTGAGTATGGTGTGGGAGATGTCACAATGAGCGATAAAGGTTGAGATGGAGCAGCTAAATCTCCAACCTCCAGGGAATCACCTGTTTTAAACAACTGAGGGATTTGAAATGTTGTAAAAGCGATGTGGAGATGGTGTTTTTACTGTTTACTTTTATTGAACAGATACATCACCATATGTAGCTATCCAACAGAGCTTATTGTAAAGCACTATCTATTGTGAAGGGCCACTTCATTATGGTTGTTGAAGTGCTGCGTGCTGGAGTTTATTTTCAAGGAAGTACTGTGTCTGTTAATGGGTAAAGCTATAGTAACGTCTTCAGCTAGTCAGCTTGAGATCCTTTCCATCTAAACTGGTTATATCTCCTAATCCTAGTAGTGAATATTTTATGACCAGTAGGATAACAATATTCATATTCGCAAAGCCGAAGCACAACCAAAACAATGTTCTTCTGCAAAATGCATGTAGTTTTGTTTTTTAACCACTAGAGGGCTAAAAGTTACATAGTGTACCTTTAAGTGCATAAGGAATGATGTGTGTATTGGTAATTAAGTGTGTGTGTGTGACTCACCCCAGCTGACTGAGAGCAGAGTGCTGCATGTTCTGAATCTGATGTTGCTGCCATCCGCTCATTGAGCCCAGATGCAGAGTGTTGGCACTGTTGAAGCCAGATATAGAGGACAGATCTGCACTGCTCAGAGAATATTCTAGAAGAAAAACACATGATCAGGGTTAATATTTGCATCCTAAACAATTGATGCAGCTTTTCTAGATAACAATAGCTCCGCCTGCTGGAGAGACAGAGCTACACACAGACTAGACAAAAAAAAAAGAAGAAAAAAAAAAAGGATGAGATTCTGAATTAATTTTTTTCTGGGTTTAATTCATATAAAAAGAGCTAAATAATAATAATAAAAAAGCAATATGAAAATCTATTTGAAAATACGTAGGTTAATTTTTACATCTGATTATGCTCATTTACAGTAATTACAGTAGTAATAGATTACTGAACAGTATTTTAAATTGATGCACTAATTGTATTATATTATATTAAATTTGTTAATTTATTTATTAATAAACATTAAACATTAAAATGACTAAATTTAATGGTATAACTATAAAAAAAAAAAAAATATTCCTCTATAGTAAAACATTTGAAACATTCTGATTAAGATGTTAATGTGTGTATAACATGTTGTGAGATTTAGTGTAGTTGAGGTACCTACCAGTACCATATGAGGTGGAAATGGCTGATGGGTAACCGCCCATTCCCTGCCCCGGTAGAGTGGGTGTCGCTACAGAAACCACTGGGGTCGCCAGTGACTGTGCAGACTGAGAGTTGTTTATTCTCTGGTTCTATAAGAAGAGGAAGAGAGCAGAAGAACACATACAGATGACTTGTCACGTCAAGAGGCTTGAACATAATCTGTATCTTCATCAAACAAACGAGGGAGCCAAAATAATGAAGGAAAAAAATGGCCATTTGACATGAAGCACCACTGAACCTTCTCAACCTATGATTTACAATCCCTCATAGGGCACTTGGTCGCTATAGAAACTCAAGGTCTCCAAGGCAACAGAACCAGTAAAAGAGGGGTTGGAGGTGGTTTTTTTTTTCCTGGCTTGATGACTGAATTATGCGACAGAGATTAAGAAAAGAAAAGCAGCGATAAGCAGAGATGGACATGGAGGGGTCAATAAGACCTGAGAACGAGACGACTCTTATAACCACTAGATGTCACTCTGGAGCTTGCTTGTGTAGATGTTCCTAGTTCACTAATACGAAATTGCGTTTAAGCACTTGTGCATCGCCCTATTGGCATTAGAACAATAAGCTAAACAACATCTGACCACACACTGGTCTGATCATTTGATGTGTATGAGGATGACAAATGGCCTTCAGATCTACTAGCCTACGCATGTCACTGGTTTGAGTGACAGTGTCACTTACCAATAGAAGGTCAACATCCTCAGACTGATGGCAGTAAAGGGAGGGTGATAAATCCAGAATTAGTGTCATTGACTGACAGTGAGTGCAGCTCATAGCCGCCTACGACACTACGTGAAGCTACAGACCCGTACTTCACCAAACAACACCAAAGCTGCTGAGGAGACTAAGTATGATGTTTCTAATAGGACTCTAACCTGTGCTTATTAGATAGTGAAACTACTGGAGAGGAAATGAGAAGAAAGGAGAGGAGAACCACGGAGGGTTACGAAGGAACCGAGGCGTGTGGTTTTATGGATGTGGTACTATCGTGGCTGTTAGTAAAATTCAACACAACACACTTACGATGGAGGGCATGTTGTTCTTTGCCCCGGGTGGGATGAGCACTCGTAGGTCAGGCTTACGGCTGTTCATCCCCAGGTTCACCGGTGGAGGGGACTTGGCCTGCATGCTCTTGTTCATTCCTCCGGAGGACACCAGAAGTCCTGGAGAGTTACGGTGGTTTCCATAGCCATTTCCTAATGAGAGACAGAAAGGGAGGGGGAAAAGGCGTTAAGGGAGGGGGGAAAGGCGTTAGACACAACAGAGCCAAATTGAGTACATCAAACTTTCACCATGGCACCCAATTTAAGCAAGCTTCATTTCACTCTCTCGCCTGCACCAGAATGCATCATTTCCACCGTCATCTACTGTGAAGCTTCCATTCAAGCCTGTCTGCAGCTCTCCACACGGTTCTAGTGAGCCTTCACCACATGCAGCCATTAAACACTGTTTTATCCGTTCTGGAGTATTGCAAGCATCTTTCACCAAGAATGTGCTCTTTCAATTCAATGTTTCCACACCATTTCACACAACTTTCACCTCCTCCACCACCCATTCATTTGTACCAAGCACTTGGTCAACACACCCTCTCATTCACCCTCCATCAAACCAAGCCAGACTAATTCAGCTACCCCAAATCACCCCGTCACGCTCAGATGATTTTCACTCATGAAATTATTATGATTAAACATATTATTTTTTCTCGGCCGCTGCATGAGGAAAAAGATCCAAGCTCACAGTTCAACCGATTGTCACGGATAAGCTACTTAATTTTGTCACTGATTCATAAGATAAAACATGTTCTGAAAATATTTGTTTTAAAACAGTAACATTTTAACTTTGAAAATAAGCAGAGATTAAATAAAATTGTATTTATTTTCTTCGTCAAAATGATGATGTTACATTATCACTCATTATCCCTTAAACCCCTTAAAAATGCAATACTTTATATAGATGTAAAATATAATACAAAAATAAATTATAAATATAAAATAAAATTGTAAAATATAATAAGCTTAAAATTAAGCTGCAGAGTTAAACATGTTTTTTTTAAATGTAGGCCTATTTATATAAAGTAAAAACTAAACTAAACTAAACGTAACTAAAGTAAAAACTAAACTAAACTAAACTAAACTAAACTAAAGTAAAAACTAAACTAAACTAAACTAAACTAAACTAAACTAAACTAAACTAAACTAAACTAAACTAAACTAAACTAAACTAAAAACTAAACTAAACTAAACTAAACTAAACTAAACTAAACTAAACTAAACTAAACTAAACTAAACTAAACTAAACTAAACCAAACCAAACCAAAGCCGGAGAAAAAGATAAGGTTTCATAAGGCTTCACAGTTCTGTCACCTACTTTTTTTGTCAACAGTATCTGGTATTTAGGAAAACATTTACTGAAAAAATAGAAAAAAACAACAACACTTTGGTAGGATTAATCGTTTTTTTTATTATTATTAATTTAAAAAAGGCCGGGCCTAAAGTTTAATTCATGCTAATATTTTCTTTATGACATGCATTATGGTGAAAACTATGATGCGAGTCACTGATCCTCTCCTCGTCTCTTTTAAGTGAGGTCTTTGGTCTTCAGCTATGGCGTATTCATGACAGACTGCTTAAATGTTTCTGTTTCAGAGCAAACTGTTGCAGCATCATGTCTCTTTAAAAAAGTTGAGAGATGAAAATGTGGAGTGTGGGTAGATAAAGATAAAGAGAGAGAGGAGGCTCATTTTGTTCCTCTCGTGGTTTTGCGGTAAGGAGCCAGGTGTTTGATGAATAGAGACAGGTGGCATTGGTAACTCATGGTGCTTTAAGAGCTGATGTCAAATGAGAGCAAAACAGTAAAAACTTCATTAGGTAAAACATTTTAGTTCTGTATTATTGTTCTTTTTGAGCAGAACACCACTGGTTTTGTTCCAACACTTTATATGAATTAAATTCATAAATGGATTTTGAATATTCCAGTCGTTTCAAGACCCTTTATTTCAACTGTAAAGGATCACTCCAAGTCCCATCTGGAGCACAATGGGAAGGTTGCCACTATCACATCTCATTTCCCAAGGCAGCAGTCTCTATGAATGACATAAAATGCATGGCCCTTAACTACTGACAGTGAAGGTCGTCATTTGGCAATCAATGATAAATACATGTGTGCACATGTGGCTTTCTCTTATGACTACCAGAAGTGGATCAGACAAGCAATCTTTATTCCTCATCCACAATTGCTAACCCAACTTCATCATCTCCAAAGAACCAGAGGGGTACATTATAACTGGAAAAAAAAATAGGAGGGATTGAGGAAAGAAGTCTTTGTTTCAATCCAAATCCCTCTTTTTTTTTGCTTTCGAGGGGGAAAATGTGAAGTGCTGCATGGCTTTTGCCACTTAAAAGAGGGTTAGGAATTATACGGTAGACATAAATGAATTTCCCAATCATACACTCAAAAAGAAAACTAGACGCAGATGTCGTCCTCAGCAATTTCGCCCTGGTGATCTTTCTTTAATTTGAAGGCGATGGTTTTTGTTGTTTTCAAATGAGGAGTCTTGAAAGCGCAATTTGCACGATTCAAGGAAAAGAAGGAGGACATGAGTCGGGAACCAGGAAGAGCAACTGTGATTGTGAGAGATTGTGTTAGTACAAGTGTGAGCGGGTGGATGTACGTACAGTGCCATGTGCACTGATGCATTTCCTGTCTCCTCATACATAGTGAAGTACAGGGCTCGAAAAACAGCTGGCTGGAGCTCTTCTCTAAACACTTAAACAGCCACACTTCATTGTTTGCAGTGGAGATGAGGAAATAAAACTGCATTTGATCCCCTTAAAATACATTTCCACACTTATAAAGGAATATAACGGCGGGCTCAGTACAAGTTGAGCTCAATCGACAGCACTCGTGGCATAATGCTGATTGCCACAAAAAATTCTCTCTCTCTCGCTCTCTCTCTAAAAAAACAGTAATCTAGGTTACAATGCAACACTTACAATAGACGTGAACCGGGGCAATTCATGCACATACAAATATTCACTGTTTCTATAGTATAGCACAATTTTACTAAGAATTGTTTTCTAAAAAATAACATTTGTATTTAAAGTTTCCGTGTAAAGTTATAACTTTGACGCAATGCCATAAACTACTGTAAAAATAATGATTTAAGATTTAACAGATGAATTAATGTACCTGCTTTTATAAACTTATAATCTGCACGTTTCCGTTTTTAAATCTTTTAAAATGTTACCCCCTTAAATATATATATATATTTTTTTGGCCCCATTCACGTCCATTATAAGTGGCCCCATTCACTTCCAGCATGTGTGCTGGTATCATGTCACATATGCTGTTGATTGTGCTTAACTTGTTTCTGGTTTTGAAGCCAAAATATTCCTTTAAAGTCTTTTAACGAAATAAACTAACCATATATAATGTTTACTGAATATCTGTGCAACTGCATTTGAAACTTTTTAGGTTCAAGCTATTTGACCAATACACCGTGAGAAAATCCAAACACTTTCTGTAATTATTACAGCACAAAAGGACTGATCGATAGAACCATTAATAGAGACTGGCCTCTGTTCTGCTCTGGTAACCATAGAAACATGTGATTTCATGATATGTGCAGGTTAAGGGGCCTGTACAGTACAGTACACCCTGAGCCAATCATAAACACGTGGACTGCTCACATCACACGGACCGAGATCTATTTAACAACAAGAGCGCTGCCATTGGCAGGCACATTGCTAAGCACCCTCAAACGCAAGCAAGAGCACCCTCATATGATACTGTAATAATATATTGGTGAAACAGATTTGGCAAATGCTCCAGTGCATATATGTGTTTGCGCTCTGAAGAACGTCAAATGTATCTATTTACAATGTGTTTTTGCAGTGGTGAGCAATGTAGCCAATCAGAGATATAGTTATTGATCTCTTGAATGCAATGGCTCAAAACGCCCTTTTTATATTCAGTGCTGAGTTATGAATGCTTGTGAAACCTCTCATTAACAAAGTGTAGACACGATATAAGTAATGTAACGGTTACCAGCTGGAGTGCCCTTGAGAGCCACCAGAGGGGACTCCACATCAGACTCTCACGTTCACTCACAGACTACATTTCCCATAACTCACTGCCCGGACTCATCACTGATCACAATCACCTGTACCTCATTCTCTGATTGCATTCACCTGTGTGTCATCATCCTGTTAGTCTCAGTCCATATATACCATGCTCATTCATTCACTCACCGCGAAGTCTTGTTTTGCTGCTGCGAACATTTCCAAGCGTTTTCCCATGTATATTCCTGCCTGTTTTGACCTTGTCTGTTCCTGATCTTCTGCCTGGTTCCTGTATCCTTCCTGTTTGCTGCCTGCCCTGATATCCTGCCTGTTTACTGACCACGATTTTGCCTGATCTTCTCTGCTGTGTTTGCTGGTGTTTGACCCTTGCCTGGTGACTACTCTGTTAAATAAAGGACAAGCTGCACTTGGATCTGAACGTCTCCTATGCTTCGTAACAGAAGACTTCGCCACACCGAGATCCAGCAGCGATGCCAACTATGAGTCCAGACGTCCAAATCATGCGTCTCCGTCAGGAGAATCGGTCCATTGAAGACTATGTCGCGGAGTTTATTGAACTGGCACATCTCACCTCAATGAACACAGAGTGCCAGATGATCTTTTTCCGAGGAGGACTATCTGAACCGCTCAGTTCATTCATGCCCTTGCATGACCCTCACGGGACATTAGAGAGCTATATTGAACTGGCCCTTCTGTTAAGCGGTTCAGTGTATACGGTGGGTGTGGTAGATGAGGAACTCCGTGAACCCACAGTATCCCCTCAGCCTGAGTTTCACGTCAGCCACGACGAGCCTGAGTTTCTCCACGTCACACCAACCATAAAGCCTGCCACCAGATCGGTCTATGGCCGCCCAGGACTGGTTTCCAGCGTGGCAGATTCCCCGCTGATGTCTGCACGTGGTGCCAAGAGGGCCATTGTTTCAGGGTCTCGTCCTGCCGAGACCGTCCAGCCAGAGTCTCATCCCGCAGAGACCGTCCCGCCAGAGACCGCCGAGCAAGAGACTGAGCTTCACGTCACTTCTGCCGATCCAGAGACTGAGCTTCACGTCACTTCTGCCGATCCAGAGACTGAGCTTCACGTCATTTCTGCCGATCCAGAGACTGAGCTTCACGTC